CCTCACCCACGAAAAATCCCCCCACAAAACTAGTTGGCCACCCACCAAAACCCCACCCAAGAAATCCCCAACCCACAAAAACACCATCCGCCAAAACCCCACCCACGAAAAATACTCCCTTTCCCACGAAACCGATCACCCATCAAGACCCCACCCAAGAATCAATTATTTCTAGTGCTTGAATTAGGGTGTGGCTTTGATGTTCAATTATCCAATAATGGTGCTAAAACTGCTAATCCATAAGGAGGAGAGAGAATCAAGAACCCTAATTTTTTTTTTGAAGAGGAAAGAGGGGAATGAAAATGGAGGGGGATTGCTCTGACTAAACTACAAGCACTATGTATTTTTATTTTTTTATTATTTTTTTTTTGAAAAAGTTAACCTTAGTTTCTTAGTCATGTTAGATTTAACGGAATTTTAACGAAAAAATATCATTAAGGTTACGGTTGAAAATTTATAAAAGTATATGGCTACCAAAGATAATCAAAATAAAAATTGGCTACCATTGAAAATAAGCAAAAATAGAGGGCTACCATTGATAATTTCCCTAGATTTTAAGGTCTTAGAGATAGACAATTTTTTATGGCAGTTTTGTTGTTTAGAGGTGAATTTTTTAAAAAAATTTAGTGTGAAAAATGGTCTCACTCAAGACTCCCATGACTAAAAAAAAACCTTTCTTATAAGCTTATACCCTTTCAAGTTGTGAATTTAAGGGGTATGCAATATTCATCCTTTATTCCTTTATAATAATTAAAATTATAGGATTTCCTATCCAGGGGAGCATTGCAGTATTTGTCCAACTAGTTAATTCATGAGCTGTTAATTACATCATACAATTTTGAAGTTATTGATTTATTAAAAAATAAAAATAAAAAGTAATATCATGTTTAAAATTGGATAAGATGGTAAGTAATTAGGCTATGCAAGAAATAATTATAGTGTTTAAAACCATGTTTGAGATTGAACTAAGAAGATTTTGAATTATTAAACATCAGGGGTAATATCAGCTACAGAGTACGTGTTTGTTCAAATAATGGTGTTTGTACTTTTTTTTTTTTTTTTTTTTTTTTTTTTTGAAGGGATAATGGTGTTTGTACTTTGTATTGTTTGGAATGCTACTTCTTATTTCTTCATCATCTACATTTTGTTTTGGAGAACGAGAGAATTTGATTTTTTTTTTTTTTTTGGTTGATTTTTGAAAATAAAAAAAAACATCTTTATTTCTTATTTCTTCATCATCTACCTTTTCCTAAAATTGTATAAATCTTTATTTCTTTGTTGATTTTTGAAAATGAGTGAAAAGGTTGTATGGAAGAGAAGGTTAATTGGTTGAAAATTTTCTATGTTGGTGCCAACTGCCATGTGATAACTACTATGGAGGTTTATAACGAAGCTGTGGGACATTCCAAAGATTTGTTTTTCTACCATTCAAATCTTTATTATGCTTGACAACTATTTTGCCAAATTTCTTCAACTTTTTAACAAAATACACCATAGTAGAAGGTTGAAGATTTAGCTTCAAAGTTGAAGGTTAAAGCCGACAAAACCCGAATCTTATGGTTTGATTAGCTAAATCCTCAGGTTTATTGTTAATTAATTTAACTTACCATCACAATTACCTAGCAAATCTACGAAAGCTATCAAGTGATTTCATGAATCATGGTTTGTTAGCACTTTTCCTCTTGGAAAGAAAGCTTTTTGTAGATGAATTATTTTCCAAAACGGTCAAAAAAGAGAGAGACATAAAATTTTGTTGAAATATTAGTCTTTTCCTACTACCTAAACATAGATTGGCTTGTCTCATAAATTCATTAATTGGGTATTCCGCCGATTTGTGAAAGTGATGTGTTCTTGTCACCAGATTTATTACAACAGTAGAGAAGTTGGGCAATTTCTCTTTGACGGTGTGTTTCTCCAACTCTACTTGTATGTCTCACAATTCACAACCCTGCCTTTGATAGTTAGTTAGGGCGGAGTTGAATTCTTTCTAGTTTGAAAACTAATTGGTTTATATTATTTTACAGTTTGTGTTTAATAAGTCGGGTTCTTTTGAACTTATTTTTCAGTGTTTACGTACTGAAATATTCGTTCAGTTTCAATTTAACTTTATAATCATTTTAGTTCACTTCAGTTTATTAATTTTAAACCTAACATGGCCTTAAACTTTTAGTGCATGTTGATTATATAGTAAGTCAATATTAGTAATGATTTATTATTGATCTTAAAGGTTGATTTTTATTATTGCTCTTGATGTCATACCATCTATTTGCATCAACTTTTCAGGGTAGATTATTTGCTCTTTAAGCAAGTAACTGAATAAGTCAGATAGTGTTATTAACTTATTACTATTTTTTTTTTGCTATTAATACAGAGATTATGCATGGAATTTAACAACAATTATAAATATGATATTTCAGATTGACCCGAGTTCGAGCCTTATAAATCCCTGAAAATAACCAAATAATTGGCTGCCTATTTGCCTTGTGAACGATGAACGTCATGCATGGTCATGATCACGTCGAATTAGGGATAAGTTCGTTAAATAATACAATGTTCATATAAATAAATTCAATAATTCATCATTTAATTATTGTCGGTGCATGTTCATAATTGTCATTACTCGTAATTATACTAATAATAGGACAACGTATTACATTTTGTTTTAGAGCGTTGAAGCCTTGCTTCATCTTCGTGACTATTAATTATAATGTGACATGATGAGACAATTATGTATTAATTTTATTTAATTTATATCCACATATAAAGGATGCCGAAATTTCTGGATTCTAATCTCTCTCTACAGTAGGTGATTTCTTCATTTATTTAGGGTTATATAATTCGATTTTTAGTCATCTAAATATTAATTTTTAAGAGATTAGGGGCTTGTTCTGTTTCGTTGAAATTTAGTTCAGTTCAGTTCAGTTCAGTTCAGTTCAGCTCAGTTCAGTTCAGTTCAGCTCAATTCAGTTCAGTTCAGTTCAATTCAGCTCAGCTCTTAATTTATGTCTAATGATATTGCTAATGATATAAAGCTAAATTTCATTCTTTTAAGCTCTTATTCAACGACAACAACAACAAAAATAATAATAATAATAATAATAATAATAACAATAATAATAATAACAATAATATTAATAATAATAATACTAATAATAATAATAATAATCAATAAATAATAATAATTATTATCAATAATTAATAATAATAATAATAATAACAATAATAATAATATTGATACAATTCATTGTTCAAATGGTTCTATTGTTTGTTTGGGGCACTGCCGAACTAGTGACTGCAGGAGGAAGGAGAAAGTGTTTTTCTTTCTCTTTATTTGGGCTTAGAGCATCGTGGGTTAGGGTGTGTTGTTGGTTTTTTTTTTATTTTATTTTATTTTATATATATATATATTATTTTATTAAAAATTTGTTTAAATGGGTTAGATACATGTAAGTGTTTTGTGTTCTTTTGTCCTAATACTAGTTTATTTTTGAATTAAATAGTATATGTGTTTAAAATGTTTAGAGGTTTCAAGTTTTTAATATATTTTCCATACATTTTATAATATATTTTCCATACATTTTATAATTATAATTATATAGTATATTTTTCGTAAATATTTTAATATGTACATTTGTATATACACATATGTATAGTAATAAATATCAATAAATAATCAAAGATCACTAATCCGTAGTTAAAAATCACTAATTAATAAGTTCAGTTCAGTTCAGCTCGCTTCAGTTCAGTTCAGTTCAGTTCAGCTCGGTTCAGTTCAGTTCAGTTCAGCTGAGTTCAGTCAATCGGAACAGCCCGTGATTATTTTTAGTCATCTAAATATTAATTTTTAAGAGATTAGGTGTGAATTATTTGGATCTTACAAAGCTCGTGATTATTTTGTCCAATTAATGAACTTGCACACGAGTAACTTTAATCTAAACATGAACTCGACGCGCTTAAACTGAGCTAAGTTTATGGATTTTATGCTTGTCTGGTTTAAGAGCCGAAACATTTTAATTGATTAAGCGTTGGATTATAGGTACACCCGTGTATATTAAAGACAAAATCCTTTAGATTCTATACTAGTTAGAGTCTTCTTAAGAAGGATTAATTGTATTCCTTAATCGTGTTATTCTGCGCGTAACAAATGCCAAAACACAAACCAACAGTGATAAGAATGTGATTCTTTTGCCTTTTAACTTGAAATGACACGGATGCTAGCTGTTATTTAACTGAATATAAAACAATTTATACTGTTAGATGTCATGTCTTATGATTGTTAATTTGTATGATTGAAAGATTTTTCCAACTCTTTCTAATGTACTCGTAGTATCTCTGTTTTACCGACGTTGCAAGATGTTAATTTATTGTTAACTCTGGTTTATATACTGTTTTGTTTAGCTTGATACCCAGTAAATTACGTGTATGTGTGAGCTGTCTTTTCTTTTTTTTTTTTCATAGTAATTATCATGTTTTGTATTACTTTGTATACTTCCTACTCTATATGTCTTAATTCACTTGTCTCATAACAATATGTCTTAATTCACTTGTCTCATAATAATATGCACCGGATAAAAAAGAGACGATACAAGTAAATTGAGATATGGAGCAATTATATTTGAAACGGAGGAAGTAAATAGGATTATGGAGCAATTATATTTGAAACGGAGGAAGTAAATGTAAATATATATGGTAAATAGAGGATAAACATCTCTTTTGCATTATTATACGGAGTAGATATTAATATCAAAAAATATTTTATAACTATCTTGAACATTGTAGAAATGCTAAGGTTAATTATACTTAACGCTATAACGGCGTAGAATATCATAATTTCATTAGTACAATTGTATAATCTTTAGGTTAATTTTAAATATTAGAGTGAAATTTTTATTTCAATCAGAAGTTAATTAAGTGAAATTATGAACGCATTTTGTCGAAATTATTTGTCCCATACCTAGCCATTTCATAGATTTAATGTTTGTTTTCTTATTCCAATGGAATTTAACATTATTATTGAATTAAAAAAAATAATCATTTAATGTAGTGTTGTTGATAGAATAAATTGTCATGACACTACATTTAATAATGCATTGAAACTAAGTATTTTTGGAAGACAGTAAAAAACCACTAACATAATATTGTAAAACTGATTATAAACTCCACATAATTTGTTTTCCACTTTCTTAAAAAAAAACATTTCTGGTTTAATCTACCGGTTACAACCGTCCAAAAAAAAATATAAAAAACAAAGTTCCGTCTTCATGACACATCTTGATGTCCAAAATTTTTGTAGACGTCTTTTGTCATAATTTTTCAATGAGACCACCTGTCAAAGTACAAAAGAGAAATCTCTACATTATAAAAGAAGAATAATAGGTAAAAAACAATCTGAAAATTTTTAAAAGTAAAGAAATATGGCATACCTAAAACTTCAAAGTAAAAATAGGATTTAATCCTAAATCAGCTGCCATCTTCTTTTGTTTTTTTTTGTGTTGCAGAAGAAGTACCTTCATTCGTATCATTCAAAGAAAATATATTTTCCTTATTAGGACAGGTTGGTTTAGTATGACCGGGTTGCTTGCATATAGAACAACATTTAGTTTTCTTCTTTCCGGACTCTTTTCCACCCCTCTCACGCTTCTTTGGTGGACGTCCCTTTGTTTTGGATTTAGGGGGACACAGTACATCATCTCCACCGACTCCAATGTCATTGTGTACAGTTTCGGATTCTTCCTCCAATATCATGGCTTCACTTATTATTTCTTGATTTTCAACTGTAGGTTGCAACCTATCACAATGCCATCGTAGAGGTAGGTAGGAGGAAGGGATCTTGAAACAATCATTATGCAACAACACTCGAAATATATGACGACAAATTATACCCCAAAATTCGAAATTTTTGCAACTGCATGACATTGTTATTCCATCCAAAAAAACTCTACGATTTATACCCTTTTCCCCTTCATAATATCTTACGGTACATACATTACCTTCTATTTGGATTATAGAATATTGACTTGCTTTTATTAATTCATCTTGAAACTTTTTGAAAGCAAATGAAGTGAAGACTTCAAAAGCCTGACCTTCCAATGGTGACTTTGTTTTCATGCTAATGGGTCTGAGAGTAGCAACCATATTGCTATGTGATTGTCCTTGGCAAATTTCTTGAACAGCAAGAGCTACCTAAAAATGACAAGTTGTAACATGAACATTAGAAATAGTTAAAATAGTATTGAAATATAATTTAAAGAAGAAGAATATGAACTTGTTTCACAAAGTCTGTCAAAGATACATGAGAGGAAACAAATCTCTTAATAAAAGCGTTTATGCTCCTGATCTTCCGGTGGTTATCATGCCTCCAAAAAAATAATCTCTGAGATAAGCCGGGGCCCAAAAATATCTTACATTATACAAGCCTTGAACATGTTTATTCTCTTGCAAATTATACTTCGCAATCATCAAAGTCCAACTACGCTCAAATTCTTCCGTGATAGTCATCTTATAAAGATTGTAAAAATCAGCACACCATTTTTGATAATTCTCTCGTAAAAGTGTTGCAAACCAACAACTGAATTTCGATGTGATATGCCATATACAATAACTATGTTTTGTGGTTGGCATTTCATTTTCAATTGCTTTAGACATCCAAGGATCTTGATCAGTGATGATAGTCTTTGGGGCACTCTTCATTATACGAACAAAAGTCTATTTTACACATGATAAAAATATAATTGAAGTCAAATAAGTAATACTATTTGTCAATATGAACTACAGAGTATAAGATAGACATTGGCAAAATAATACATAGATAGACATTATTATCTTTAAGCAATTATACATGCAAATAATATATACAGATAAATCCAAGTTATTATACCAGCTTAACAATAATAATTAAGATTGTAAGCTAATTAAAACTACATGTATTAAGTTCATACCTTCATTAACCATGAAAAAGTAGAAGTTGTTTCATTGCGGAGGAGTGCACACCCAAATAAAATAGTCCTTCCATGATTGTCCACTCCAACAAAAATTCCACAAGGCATGTCATATGCATTAACTTTGTAAGTGGTGTCAAACACGACTACATCACCATATTTTTGATACCAATCAAAACTTTCAGCCGAACACCAAAATATGTTTTCTAACCTCCTTTCTCCATCAACTGTATAAGCATATTGAAACTTATTATTTTCCTCATTGGTAGATTTCATATACTCTAAAAGACTCTTGGAATCATTAGCTCCAAGCAACCTCTTAACTCGACCAAACAAATTGCGAACATCTTTCTGAATAAATGGTAGTTCACCATGTCCAACATTTTTTTCTAGCTCCAAGACTCGTATTATCTGTCTAGCTGATAGTCCTGCCTCTTTTAATAACAAAATTTTCTTCTCATCTTCACCACTAATGTTCCTGTTTGACGGGAGAAAACGCATCGCTTCGGGTGGCAACATTACATGATTGTGTTGCTTGGAATACTTAGTGACATGCCATTCTTCTGGAAATATATCAAAGCATTTTTTCAATGTAATTCGCATATGAGCTTTGCAATCACATTTTGATGATTCCTTATTTCTTTGAGGTTTAGAAAAATCAACTACCTTCAAAGGTTTTTTCCCTCCGCAATGACAGTAAAAATCACGTCTGATAGTCCTACCATGCCTAGTGTCCGAACGATCTTTACGAACAACAAAACCATGTTGTTTAGCATACTTGTTATAAAAGACGTATGCCTCTTCTTGACTCTCAAAGGTTTGGCCAATAAAAGGTTCATCATCATTATTTTCCTCTTCAATCAAAGGTTCATTCAAATCAACATCAAGCATTGTAAATTCTATAAACATGAAAATAAGTAGTCTTTTATTAAAAAAAAAGCTTATTGCATATTAATTAGAAAAATCTCAAACAAAAGCTATAGAATCTTCTTAAAAATCATCACAATAGCATACATAGTATATAGGAAAGTATATATTACTACCCAAAATTTTACACTACTACCCAAATCGATAAACCTTATAAAATTCGTCAAAAAAATTAGGGCAAATTTCATGTTATCACATGGGTATTATTCAATATGGCAGAAGTTAATTCAATGTGTATTTTCATTAAAATTCAACTCTCAAATCAATCACCTCTCATCCAAACCTCATCATATGGGTTTCATTGAATTGAGATTATGCAGAAACAAATTCAAACAAATTCTATAACCTTGAGTTATACAATTATGCAAAAGAAGATTAAAAAAAATAAAAAAAATTAGACTTTTGGCAAAAGTAATACCTTGAATTGAAGGGGAAACACGAGCAGTTGTCGAAACACCATAGATAAAATGTTATGCGGTATTGTTTTGTACATAATATAGCTGTTCTGGGAAGCTAAACTGAGGCAGGATGATTGAGTTTTTTTTTATTGGGAACATGTATTTTCACTTGTAATTATTAGTATTGTTGTGAATAGCATTTATTATGTAATTGGGTAAATCAATTGATCAGTTATATTAAGTATTTTCTAGAAACTATAAGAGAATCAAATATGTAATTAATGCTTATATATAGCCCTTAGGGCTATATATAGCATTTGCCTTTAAAGAAAGAGAAGTATTATTAAAACACAATCAAAGCAACCAAATAAAATTGGAATTTGCAACCAACAACAGTCTCCCTTAAAACCAGAGTAGTGTAGTGTCTACGAAAGGTCAAAAATAAAAAAAGGAAGTTGAAGTTTGATTAATTTATAGTGAAGTAGGGCCATTAACAATGTGGGGGTTAGACATTGTCACTTGTCATCAGCGCAAAAAGACAATCTACTCACATGTCAATCATCCCATTTTTCTACGTACATTAATCAACTTTCTTAAGTACTATTTGTATTTTAATGGACACTCACTTCTAAACCCCTTTTATATAAATAAACCACATTTCTTACATTACTTTAGCAAATCCTTCTTTTTCCTCCCTAATTAAAAACCCAACAAAAAATATTTTGATCCCAAATCATAAAATTACATAAATTATGGGAAATTGTATGGAAACTTGCAAGGAAGAAAATAAAGAGATTGAAATGAGTGGAAAAGAAGGAGAATTTGTGAAAGATGTTGTGAGTAATAAAAATGGGTTAAGAGTAAAGATGGTGTTGACTAAAGAAGAGTTACAATGGTTAATGATGCAGCTGAGTAACAGAGAAATTGGAGTTAAAAGGATTGAAGATGTGTTTGGTGAGATTGAGAAGGGTAGAAAGAAAGGTGTTTCATCTGCTCATTCTTGGAAACCTTCTCTTGATAGTATTACTGAAATCCCTGAAGTTCTTGAGATGAGTAGATGATACTTTGTAGTTTTGTTTTTCCGGGTAGGGAGCTTTTAAGGATTGACGGGATTTGATCTCAAGTGTTAAGGGCACGGTCTCTCACCGATTAAATTAGTTGGCTCCATGTAATTGTGGACTTATCGTCCATGTAGATGATAGACTTGCTTGTCATTTGAGGTTTGCTCTTCTTTTTTTTCTTGGGTAGATTTGAGGTAATAGGATTATTTTTGGTCCTTTGCCTTAATTGTGTAGTTATGGTGTGGATCACTTAGATGTATATATTTTTTGAGATAGATTGAAGTGTTTCTTTACATTAAAAGTACCAATCTTCCATGTATTCCCTTCTCTTTTTTTTTTTCTTCAATTTAAATCTGTTGTTTACAGTATCAAATATACTACCTTCGTTACAGGTTATGTGCAACGATTAAATTTTTTTTTTCTCTAATTTATGTCAATTTGTTGTACATAGCCTGTAACGGAGGTATTAAGATAATTTAGCTTAGGGGTATCTTAACATCATGCATAATTCTTAATTATTTTCTGTGGACTACATACTACAGAGTAACAGGGGTTCCTTTCTAAAGAGGAAGAAAAAAAAAAAGAAATAAATAACTTTTTAGTGTTGTCCATTTCTAGCTGATTGATTGAATTGATTGCCATGTGAATCCCTATAGTAAAAGCGCTAATTACGCTCTCAATTAAAGTCTCAACTTGGCATAATATTACTAGTACTACCTTCGTTTTATATCATTTACAACAGTTAGACATTATGTCTCTCAACTTTACGTCAAATCGTTATACCTCTCAACTTTACGTCAAATCGTTGCAAATAATATGAAATGAACGGAGATAGTATTATGTAGTACGAAGTAGAAGTATTTGTTAACATAAAAAAAACATAATAATTAAAAAAAAAAAAAAAAGTTATGTCGAATTTGACCATCAACAACTATTGTGACTTATTGACGTATCAGATAATTATTAATACGTCTTGAATATGTTGGACTTAATCTAGGTGTATGACGCTCACTAGTCGAAACTTAATTAAAATTGACGGGGATGTTTACATGAATGTCAAATTGTCAATGCGTTATAGGTTGATCATGTAGTTTAATTTGATACAAGTCATACATAAAACCTTACTGGCCCTGGCCTTCCAATCATAATGTTGTAAGGTAATAGCCTTTTTAAATTACTAAACATTAATTATTACCATCGTCACATCTAATTACTATACCAATACGTCGTCACATCTAATTACTATACCAATACGAGGTCTATATATCAACGAGACCTTGTTATTCAGTATCATCATATGTACACCATACTCTGTCTAATTTATTTAGTATTTAGTTATTTTGGTAGAGTTGATAATCACCAAATAGAAATAGCGAAAAGGTTGCCTACCAAGTAGAATTTATTATGTGACGACGTCCACATACAATGATACAAGCAAAACGAAACAAACACAGGAAATGAAGAAACAATTAACTGAAGTGTAATTGACAGCTTATTGAATTGTACTGTATTTGTTTTTATTACAGCTGTTTGCACTGTTAATTTGGTTGCTCTTAACTCTTTAAGTAGTTCACAACTTCACATTATAAAGGTGATCAAAAAATTTGGATGATTGACCATTATTTATGGCCTTAAGTTCTGGTTTGAACTAAGTGAAGCCGACTTATAGGAAGGATGGCAAAGTAATATTTGTGTTTCAATGTGTAGGAACGTGTTTCAAAACTTTCAATATTTGTTGGGCTTGTTCTTTACAAAAAAAAAAAAAAAAATGTTGGGCTTGTTGTGTCTTATATTTAGAAACCGTTGGATATTTTCTAATACATGATGGGGCGATGGGCAGATTAGGAAAGGGGGTTTATATAAATAGACATCCAGGATTAAGTCATTAGAATGTGTATCCACTAGAAGACGCATAATTACGAAGGGGTTCGATCATGGAATCAGATACACTTCCATAATTAAATTAAGATTTACCGATTAATTTGAAATGGAGATTAAAGTATATAATAGGAATTAATCCTAACATTTCGAAAACCTGCTTCAGATCAATGTAGATCAGAGTTCGCGTTCTTCACGATAAGCCCAAAAACATGGTTCAATAATGTAGATCTGACAGTAGGTGTTCTGCTATACCAACAGTACAGCCGTTGCAGCATAACCACAAGCAACAATATAATAGTTCTATAACGTAACACAACTTCTAAAATTGGACATTATAAGTCTGCAACACTATTTGCAAATTAAAGTCCAAAAAGATTAGTAACAGAATTGAAGCCAATGCGGTCCAAGAAATGCATGCCTCGACATTAGAGTGAAGAAAAATTGAACAAGTGAATATGTGTCTCACTGTCTCAAACCCTGAGTATTATAATTCCTCTGTATCCGGGAGAAACATCTATTGATTTTCATGAAGAAAAACACCACCTGTCATACTCATAGTCTGTTACAACTGGTAGTCTGCCCTTTTCCTTTGTGCAAATATATCGATCAGGATCAAGTTTGCTTAATGTAAATTATTGATGGACATACTAGGCATCCCACATAAATTACGCAGTATTTGTATTTTTGATTTTTTTATTATGTTTTTTGACGGCTTTTTTGTTGTTGTTGAAGGAGTATTAGTTTCTCATTTAACATATTAATTGCGGAGTTGTATAATCCGTACAACATATGTATAATCCGTACAACATATACTAGTATATTTTTTTAATCACAAGTTCTCTCGAATTACCTGCAATACGTATATAAGTGTCATGAACCTATTTTATTTTATTTTATAATTTCTCTCAAAATTTCAATTAATTTGGAATAGAATTCGCATGGACCTAGCCAAGTAATTCTACGTTAAATTAAATAGTTGTTCAAACTTCAAACCAGTAATTTTGCAAATCCAAGCAATCAAATTCACCAATCACCACAATAGGCTAAATAGTTGAATTTCTGAATCATGGTCTAAATTCTTTTAGATAAATTACAAGTATGAAAAATGACAAGTATATACTTTCCTATAAGAAGTGAAGAATTCCTCTAAATTGATCTGATTCACTACCCAAAACCTAGGCCTTTTAATTTCTTTGAAAAAAAATGAGCAAATAAGTGGATGTCAACTAACGTACTTGGTTAACCTTAAGGGTTAACGCCTTGAGATCAAATCTCATCTACATATATCACTGCCTTCGTAACTCCCTATAAACAAAGAAAAAAGAAGGGGCCGGGAATTGAACAATAATTAAAAAAAAAAAAAAAACTACTCATACGTTCTTCTTATAGTATTCCTCTTCGTCTTCTTCTTCCTCTTCCTCTTCTTCAGCAATAGTAGTAAGCTCCAAATCATTAGACACCCGAATAGTACCGGGAACGATATTAATCCGTTGAGCAGGAAGCTTCATAAGCTCATTAACCACATCTTTAAAATCCAAAGCTCCTTCTCCTTTACATTTTGACAACATCTTTGCTGCTTCTTCTTTTGTTAACAAAACTTTTACTCTAATATTATTTTGGCTTTTGTTACTTACCTGTTTTACTCCTTTGATGTTCTTCCCTTGATCATCACAATCATCCTTGACTCGAGACGATGATAAGAGAGGCTCCCTCAACTCCGAGGACATTTCCAGATACTCATCATCTTCGCGGTAATAGCCAACAATTTTAGGGCTTCTTTGAAGCCTCCTTGGTGGAGTTCTGTCTTTTGTTTTCGTAATAGTTTCAAGTAATTTGTCTAATGCAAACATGGTAAGCATTTTTAAGGAGAAGTAGTGTATGTAAGTTTTCTCTACTTCTCTTTTCTTCTTGGTTTTTAAGGGTTTTTTTTTAGTGTGTTTGTTAATGTGCTTTGGTAGTTGAAGACTTAAGGTAATGTTTATGGATGAAATTATTTAATTATGGATGTTGGGAGATTAGCTAGATCTATATATATAATAAGAGGCAGAGAATAAAAATGGGGTTAATCTTAGAAAGTCTTGCACTAAATAGTTAAAGTGGGGGTACCTTTGAAGATTCAAATTTGCATGTCTTTTCATTTGTGTCATTTTCTTAACAAGTGGCCCTTCTTCATTTCCATGCAAATGACTGCTTAAATGGGGTAGAAAATGCTACTTTGGCAAATAACTAAATAAGTCTTGTTCTCTCAAACCTTCTTAAGTGGGGTAGAATATATGCTACTTTGGCAAATAACTAAATAAGTCTTGTTCTCTCAATCTATATTACCTTAATATTATGAGAACTAGCTTGTTGCATGGGAATTTTAAGATTCAATGACGGCTACTATATGCCTAAGAATTCAATTCACAATTATAACTTGTGGAAACAAGTTTCAACGATGACCAAATTCAGATAAATAGAACACACTAAAATTTTACGTGTGAGACAACAGGTAACTGTACATAATGTTTAAAACAACGAAGGTTTAAATTTATCCAATGTTGTTTAATAAAGTTAAAAATGGCTCATCATGCTAATGTTTATTTAACTATGTGGTGTAAGTGTTATGGATGAATAAAGTTAAAAATGGTGTATCGTGGTTAGGGGTGGCAATTCGGGTCAACAGGTCGGGTTCGGGTCAGATTTCGGGTCGATTTCGGGTTATGCTTAGAAACTATTAAAAATAGTGTAAAACTTAATATTATTACGAAATATGAAATTTGGGTCAAATCGGGTCGAATTCGGGTTGTTCGGGTTCGGTTCAGGTCGGGTTCGGGTCTCTCTCAGTAACTTCGGTTCGGGTCGGGTTTTCGTGTCGGGTCAGGGTTTGCCAGCCCTAATCGTGGTATGTTTATTTAAAGTTATGGATGATGCACGCACTATTTTTATACTACGTATATGTATGTAAACTTGTACTGAATTGAAATCATTCTAGTTTTGTAGGTAATGTTATATCGTTGTATGGAAACTTAAATGGATCTCTCTCGATATATTTGATACTCTTAGTAGAATTCCATAGAAAAATCATTAAGTATATCTTCAATCATAAACTAATTTAAAAGTTAGTTATTTTTAAGTAGATATAAGCTTGAGTTGAGCTTGGACCTCGCTCTTGTCTTAAATTCTTAACAGATAAGGCAAACCAACTATTTCAACAACTTCAAAGTAACTTGAGGCCAGGGTATAGAGGATTAAGGAGTATATGATGCAACCTCAAATTGCCTATTGTAAAACTTAGGGCCTGTTCTCTTACGTTGAAATTCAGTTCAGTTCAGTTCAGTTCAGCTTAGTCTAGTTCAGTTCAGTTCAGTTCAATTCAGCTCAGTTCAGTTCAGTTCACTTCAGTTTAGTTCAGTTCAGCTTCTAATTTCCTTCTCTTATAAAATATTCATTTCAGTTCAGTTCAGTTCAGTTCAGTTCAGTTCAATTCAGCTCAATTCAGTTCAGTTCAGCTGAGTTCAGTCAATGAGAACATGCCCTTAAAAGAAAAGGAAAAAAAAATGGAAAAAAGAAAAGCAAACGTAATTACGTAACACTAGACATTTAGACAAAGCCAACAATCAACATTAGATAGTTCAGCTTTAGCACTTGTTGTTAAGAGAATACTTGAGA